GGGGTTTAGGGTTTAGGGTGGAAAGTGCTAGAAGTCAGGAAGACCTCATAGGGACTTTAGGGCTCTGGGAGTGCGGGAGATTAGCGTTTAGGGTTTAGGGTTTCGGGCTTAAGGAAGTTTGGGGAGCCGGAGAAACCGTGAGAGTTGATGATGCCGGAGGCAGATGAAGATCTGAAGGGACTTTGACATGTTCGCTGCAATGTGGGACTGATGTTCATCCCGGGCGACCCCCCAAAATGTCACTGATATTCTGAGGGGAGCGGGCTGTGCCATGGATCGATAAGGCAGTCGACCGCAGGTAGCTGCCCAGCATGCGGTCCAAAGATTTTCCAGGGCATTGGGATCGCGGCGGCTTGCAGCAGGTTGCTTTGACTCCTGTTTAGGTGTCGAACCCAGGTCTCCCTGCTCAAACGCGGCACATCCTGATGCTTTGTGACCCGTGTGTCGTTGGGACTGAGAACGACAGACTCCACGCTGACATGACTCCACAAAAGAGCTGACTGAGCAGTTCAGAGTTGGGGACAGCGTCATCGGTCGCAGAATCTTGGGCTCCTGCCGAAAAAAGTGACCTGCTGGACCTTGCCAGTAGAGCCAAACTTGTCAAACCTGGGGCAACGAGGCAAAACGCCACACAAAAATGAGGTTCCCACCCTAGAAGAATCGAAAATACTATAAAAATGAAATGCCAGAATCAATGGCATACATACTACGTGCTATCACAATCATGGTTCCCATGTTGGCTCTTCCACATGTTGAGCGTGGTGCGATACTCCGTGTAGACAGAAATATCCTACAACGAGAACGTGATGGGATATACTATCGTCAATGGTGCAAGTATGACACATAGTCACGACAGGTCACGATGGGGATGGTACTATTCTCTTTCTTTATCAATACTGCTATGACTAGTGACTACTGTTCCTGCAATTATGTACAGACAGTAGGAGCAGCATTGCACATACCATCGCCATTACTATTACCGGTGCCACGCCGCAAGTCTTATTCCTGGTAGGAGTCTTACTCTCAGCAGTGCGCATTTTACAAAAATTAATGTACACAACATCACAACAGTTAATGACAGCAACACGAAGAGAGACAATGATACAAATGATGACGACGACAACATCCGCAACACCACCGACACCAAAGGCAGCAGCAGCAGCAGCAGCAGCAGCAGCAGCAGCCGCCGCCGGCGCAGTTTTGTGCAAAAAATGGGTAATCGCCGTTAACCACTGGCAACAAGCGCAATGATCGTTGGAGTGTGCACGACATCAATAATGGTGATGGCATTGGCAATGGTCGGTCGTAACCATAAGTCCTTGAAAGAATAAGGCTACGTATCAGAGCAGCAACGGTCACGATAAGACAAAAAACAGCCTGACTGTTCTAGCAATAGTGTCCGCACTGACAACCATAGCAGCAGCCAGTACAACAATAATCACAGTGACTATTATGACATGGTAATGCTGGGGCTGTCGCCACTCCCGGTGTCGTGCCGAATCTGGGAGATGCCGTGCCACCAAGAACTTGGACTCGACGGCAGCGGCCTGGAAGCATGTTTCGGGATAATCAGTGGTTCAAGGGGCCTGAGGGCTTGGGGCTCATAGGTCAATACCAATCTCAACGCTGTTTTGGGCCGGGGCGTCAGAGATTCTGGAAGAGATTGTTAAGGGTCTTCGGTGCTCTGTGTGCTTCGTATGGTGCCAAAGCTTGGCTTCTTGAGCCTTGGAATTTCGGACTTGTGGCTTCAGCACACCACCCCTCGGCACCAGCTGGTTGTTGAGATGCAGGCTTCCTTTGAATCGCCGTTTGTCGCCGCAGCTTCCTGGAGCCAACATGCCAATGCGCCGGTGCTGCTGCGAGTGTTCCGAGGCGTTTCTAAGCCCAGGACAGTGCGAGCTTTCTTTTGCCTAGGGATTGAAGGCGCGATGCTCTCGTCGCTTGGAACACGACCACCACCATTTCTAGATTCTAGGTTCCCTGCGAGTCTCCTTTGTCAGCCTGCGTGGAGTTCACCGTGCACGAATTTTCTTGCACTCCCGAGAGTTCCAAGCCTCCTCGTCGTCATCGACCTCCACCACATCCTTGCCATCTTTGGTTTCCTGAGGGTTCCCGGTCTCCTGGTTGTCGCCCTCGCCCTCGTTGGGCTCGCCCTCCTTCCAGAAACACTAGAAGAGCGACATGCACGACACTTCTCGCTAGTGGCTTCAACCGTTCATCACCTTGACGACCGTAAATCGGAAGCCTAGAGCAGATTCCAAAACCCCGTGCTGCCAGGCCATTTCAATCATGCTCCTCTGTAGCATCGGGCTGCTCCGTGTCGCCCATGGCTCACCCTGAGCAAGGACTGAAAGATTCTGGATCTGCGTATCAGCAAAACACAAGGCTGGTAACAAAGATACATAACCGACACGAGGATGATGACGACGATGATCATCATCAGCACCATGACATCATGATGTTGTTGATGTTAGTGGACATGGTGCAGATGCTGGCGATTCTGATGGTTCTGGTCATGGCCATGATGATCACAACGGTCACAAAAGCCATGGCGATGAAGATGGGGCCACTGCTAATGGTATGAAGATTATGCCTTACTACTATGACTGCTGCTGCTGCTGCTGCTGCTGCTACTACTACTACTACTACGACGACGACGACGACGACCCCCGCCGCCGCCACCACCACTGCTGCTACCGCTACTTGACGATTACTACTCAAGCCTACACAAGACATTAGACGAAATCTCCTGACAAATGCTCCATCTGCATCCAAACGCCAAAGGTTACGATTGAGGTATGTGATGAATCTAGATTGTAGTCTATACTGCTGTCGGCAGCTGCATCCGTTGCCATGCAGGCTCTCTGCCACGTGCCCAGCATCAGCCACCAGGCCATGTTGAAGGTGCGCGACATCCCGCCAGAGACTGGAGCTGGAGGTGGCCGCCAACGTCCGGGCTAAGTGCTTTAGGGGCGAAGCTCCCGGGAGCTTGAGGCTGCTTCTCATGGTCCGAAACCACTTTCTCCAGAAGGCCATCCACGACTGGGACTTCATGTTGGTTGGAGAACGGCCCTCTGCATGGGAGCAGCAGAAACAATTCACCTGCAGGTCGGCAAATGTCGGAATGTCGGATGCTCATATGTAGGCAATCGGTCAGATGCCCTAGATTCCCTACAGCCCAAGGTTCAAAGATGTGGCAAAGCCCCGTGCCGATCGGAAGCCAGCAGCAGCCGGATGGCCACACCGTAGCTGTTGCCACTAGCCACCAGCAACAAAGAAAAGAATCTGTTCTTGCACATGCCGAAGGTTGTGGGCCACGATGGGCCATGGCTTTGGAAGTTGGCCGTTGCTCTGGCGCTCCAGAAAAGCTGCCACCACCACGCAGGGCTGGATCGTATCTAAGGTGCGAAACACTTACGCAGAAACGGCCTTCAACATCCTTTGCCGCTTACGCACACAATGATGTTCCCAAGAAACCAGCCTCAACAGAAGAACAACCCCCTACGGGGAAGAACCGGGGCATCTCAAATCTCTGAGCAGCGTCGGCCACGGCCTGATCCGGGCTTCAAAACGCAGAGATTGAGTCTCGCCAGCCGGCAGCTCTGGTATGGCCCTCAGCTTGTATCCTGAGGCAAAGAGGCTAAAACACCCCCAATTCCCAGATGCCTCGGGAGGCACGAGGCCCCTTCGGCCTCCCGGCTCGGAGATCTCAGAGCCGGCCCGTGAGAGTCGGCTTTCAAACAAGATCATGAAAACAAAAGATTCTTAGTACGACAACATACTACAACATACTCCTACAGAGAATAAGAACTATCATAATCATAAGAGTATAAGGGAGAAGAAACCACCACGTGAACAGAAGACGTCTCATAGCCGGCCACCTTCAGCAGCAAAAGCCTTGATGGTGTGTAAACGGATCCGTCTAACGACGATCTTGATTAGCTTCCTCATAGGCGCCAAAGTGCCGCCGAGGTGCTTGGTGCCCGAATGCAGGGAATCGGGAGTGGGCACATCGCGCTGTTGGGCTTCTCTGATACCTACCAAATGGAGCCCAGGCGGCGGACAGGCTGAAATCCGAAGTCGAGGCTGTCAGACGCTGCTTCCAGATTCATGGTTACACCTCAATGTCTGCGTGGGTGCGACTTTCAGAGGCCAACCCCAGCCCAACAAACTCCGGGTAGGACGGATGAAAACGGAATTGGGCGTCTTCACAGGCGACATCCTTCTTGGAAGGAGATGCAAGAGACAGATTGCAGACTTTGCAGCCTGTTGGACCATTAGGACACATGTACCCGGCGCGCTCATAAATTTGCGAGGTGTACGGCATGCACACAGGCATACGAAGAGAAGCCTGATCATGTACAACACAGAGGCATCGTCTCACGGCAACTTGTACCAAGGTGCTTGGTCTACATTGAGTCTACATGCCTCTTCAAGGATGGCTGGAAGCCGATTCCTGATGCCCTTAACCGCAAACCTTAAATTCTTTGTAGCACCCTGGTCCAGCCGTTGAGAATGCATGCAATTACTTGTACGACACTCGCGAATGCCACAAGATGCCCCAAGAAACTCAGACAACACCTACGTGTGATGACCAGTCGGTTAGCATTTAGGGTTTGGGCCCTTAGGGTGTTCAGGATTGAGGGTTGAGGGTCGAGCAAGTGGGGCATTTTGCAGCACCCAGCGGCAACAAGAAAGCGTACTCATGATATCATTTCGGATCTCTGGAACCTGGCATGGCTGCAAATCAGCAAGATTTAACATAGCACAGAGAGAGCAGGGACAAAACACGCCCTGACATTCATGCATGGACGTCTGTATGCATGTATGCATGCATGCATGCATGCATGTATGTATGTATGTGGGTATGTGTACGCATGTGTGTATGTATATGTATATGTATATGTATATGTATATGTATATGTATATGTATATGTATATGTATGTGTATATATATATAGATATAAACATATAGATATATAAATATGCAGCTATATAAATATACAGATATATAAATATACAGACATATACTTACACAGATATAAATATATATGTATATATAGAGAGAGAGAGAGATAGATATAGATGTATACCTATGTTTATATATATATACGTATATGTATTATGTGTACGTATATGTATATATGTATATATGTATATATGTATATATGTATATATGTACAGACATGAATACACAACCTAGGGCACTTTTGGGCACCCGACCGCGCCCCGGTGCCCTCGAAGTTCTGCCGCAGGCTCCCGGGCTGC